AGCTAATAATTTAGTATAATATTTGTATTACAGATTTATTTTTGATGTATTCAATATATATAATATAGTATTTATATTATGTAAAAACATGTTTATGATATAAATTATTATTATTATTATTATTGATAATTATATTTTATTAAAAATTTTATTTATGGATATAAAAAAACTTAATTGCATTTTCTATACAATAATTAATTAATTAATTAAATTTTATAACTTTATATTTATATATATTTGCTAATATAGACGCTAATAATTTAAATTTATTTATAATTTATGTATTTATATTTTTTGCATTAATATTATTATTACACACACACACACACACACACACACACACACACACACACACACACACACACACACAAAATAATTAATATTTTTGTTTTGTTTTATTTGATTCATCAAACATTTATGTTTTATAAATTTTATTTAATATAAAATATTTTTTTTAAATAAATATATTTATACATTTGATAATTTATCATAATAATTTTTTGTTGTTGTTGGTTATATATTGATATATATATTTATACATTTGATAAATTATTGTATGAAATATTTTGTTTAACCGATAAAATTATTAATTTATTTTTAAAATAAAATATTTTTAATATAATAGTAAATGTAAATAAATGATTTATAAATTGTTGATAATATAATGTAATATCTTATCTTATTTTATACAAAATTTAATCACTAATAGTAATAAATATTTTCTTTATCATGATTGGCATTTCAATTATCATAAAAACAACAAAAACAAATTATATAAATAAATACAATCAATTAAAAGACAATTTAAATACAATTTAATCAAATCAAATAAATACATAATATATTATAATTAATAGAAATATATTATATTATACAATAGTATATATATATATATATATAAAGTTACAAAAATTTATTATTAGTGTTTAAGTGCAAAATGATACATTAACTATATATATATATATATATATATATATATATATATATATATATATAATCATAGAAACATATCTAATTTATAAAATTAATTGTAACTATATCTATAAATAATTAAATACCTACATATCAAATGTGCAGGTACATATATATATAATATTTAGTATAATAAATAATAAATTAGAGTATACATTAAGATTATTTAATATATAAATTTACATCTATTTTGGGTATTAATACAAATATAAAATTAATAACGTTATATATACAAAACAATTTATATATATATGATTAATATTTTATTAATATTGTTATTATTATTATTAATAATAATAATAATAATTTCAAGTATTATTGTCAATCATTATTAAATTTAGATTTATATTACAATAATATTATTCATAATTTTTGTCTAAAATCGTATTATATCTTTTGATTTATAAGTATCTATTGTATTAATTATTTACTCAAATAATAATTAATTAATTAACAACAATATACATGTATAACATTGTTTTAATTATAAAATTGTTGTACAAAATAAAATATAATAGAGATAATTGCTATTATAATATTAATAATAATAATAATAGTACTTTACTAATATAATAAATTTTAAGTTATTATTTATAAATATTGATTTAATATTAATATTATAAAACACATAAATTACTAGTATATACAGTATATACTGTATATGATATAGGTATATATATATACTGTAGAGTTAAAAATATATTTATTTATACTAAAAAATTTTTAATTGCATGTAAAATGGTAATCAAAAAATTTCTAATAATTTTGTTATAAAAATCTCAAATATAAATAATAATTTTGACTTTAACTTTCAACATTAATCAATTGATTAAATGAAAAAATAAAAACAAATACTAATATTTAGTTAATTATTAATTATTATGACTGTTATTACTTGAGTAACAAATATTGTTGAAATAAAATATGAAACGTTTTCAGCAACAAAAAAAACTTTCTATAAATTTTTTCTAATATTTTTCTAATAATTAATTTTAAAAACTCAAAATCCCATTGTGTGACTATAAATAATAATTTTATATTACTATAAACTAAAATACCATGTAATACACTAATAATAATGATAATTATATTGAATAAATACACATTTATATGAATATAAATCTTTTAAAATACAACAAAAAATACTTTATATAATACATTGAAAATATAATATTATTTATCATTTATATTAGCAAACAAATACTTGTAGTTTTAATATCATATACTGTATATGCACTTAAAGTTTTTAAGTGGAAATATCAATAAGCATATATATATATATATATAATTTATATATTATTTTATATATATGTATGTATAACAAGTACAGTATTTATTAGTTAAAGTATTAACAAAATTGCATTAATATTTAGTAATAATAATAATAATTTTAAAAATTACATAATAAATTAATGCATAGGCACGTTTTTTAAAAAAAATAATAAATAAAATAAATAACATAATAATATTACTGGTACATTAAATGTATACCTAGTATAAATGGTAATAAATATGTTTATTTTTAATT